ATTGGCAATTTTAAAATTGTTTATTGTGCTCTTTTGTTTCACTGTTCAAGAGCTAAAACAAAAGCTCCCAGGCCCTGTGAGGTACACATTTGCATGCGGTGAGCGTTGCCCGAGGAAAAAGTAATTGCTAATGCATATTTATGGGGCACAAATTTGCCATTTGTTTATGCATAAAATTATCAATAGTGCAGGGCGGCCCAGCCATAGAAAATGGTGACCTTTTTAGCTTAATAAATAGAAATCAGCTGTTATTGTGAAGAGATCAGCCATTTATTCTGTGTTGAGGGACATTGCCGGGAAAATGCAGATTGGGGCTGGCAATATCATTAAATGGAAGGCCAATGACCCTTTCCGTAGAGTCTATTATACTTTATCTAATAGGGGATAAATGACTCTGGTTGGCAAATGGAAAAAAAAGAACAACAGTTTTTTTTTTTTTCTTTTGTAGTTTTATAACTGTGGATTTTAAGCCATAAAAATGAACAGAAAACCTCATTCTGACCTGTTGCTAGAATTCTCTCAAAAAAATACCTGTTTTAAAGTTGCTTTTCCTATTGGTTATTCTCTATTTCAGTTTGTACCCATTGAAACAGAAAGTCAGATACTTTTTTTCCAGGAAAAGAGATCTTCTTTAGTTTTTGGCTTTTTTTTTTTTTACCTTTGTCCTCCTTTTGGCCATACTTTTTATCTTTGCAATACAGGAGTATTTGCATTTTCCAGGGTTGCTTTACATTTGATATCTTAAAAATATTAAAAGTAGAAGAAGATACTCTCAAAGTTAGCAATAAATGATAAACTGAAGTTTTCTTTTTAAAACTAAGCATAAGGCCTTCTCACTCATAAGAATGGCTTCTGAGAGGACTTCCCTGGTGGTACAGTGGGTAAAAATCCTCCTGCCAGTTCAGGGGATATGGGTTCCATCCCTGATCAGGGAAGATGCCGCATGTCACAGAGCAACTACTGAGCCTGCACTCTAGCGCCCTCAAGCTGCAGCTGCTGAAGCCCATGAGCCTAGAGAGGCCACCACAATGGAATGCCCATGCAGTGCAGTGAAGAGTAGCCCCCCGCTCCCCGCAACTAGAGAAAGCCTAAGTGCCACAGGGAAGACCCAGCACAACCAAAACTAATTAATTTTATAAAAAGAATGGCTTCTGAGGGAAGTATGTGGGTCCTTTGGATTAGTAAAAATATTATATGAGTGTAAAACCTTCTCATCATTTCTTTTTTTGTTTGCCATACCACATGGTTTGTCAGGATCTTAGTTCCCTCAACAAGGATTGAACTCAGGGCCACGGCAGTGAAAGCATGGAGTCCTAACCACTGAACCTTCAGGGAACTCCCAGCATATTTTCTTAATATGTAAAACCAACAGACAGTCACTGTGACTTTTTTGGTTGTTTCACTGAGATGAAATGCCCTTAGTTTCCCCAGAGCTTGCTTGAAACTATGGTTTAATGTGGTGTGCTCTCACGCTACATTTTTTTGGCCCGTGTCTCTCTGGTAGGCTAGTGATCATTTTGGTCTTTTAGGCTTTCTTTTTTTAATTGAGTCTCCTCAATCATTATAGAAGTCACTATGAAGTGGAAGTTGTGTTTGCTTTTTCAGTATTGTAATGATTTGATGCCCTGAAAATTTTATGTAAGTTGCAAAACAAGTTAATGCAACAGAAACATGTAAATCCACCTTGGAAGATGGTGGAGCTCTTGGAAGCTCCATGCATGCTTCTTTGTAATTGTGTATCCTAACATGAGTGCACTGCACTAGGTTTCAAGTTTCAACAATGGTGGATTTGCAGTCACCAGTCTTTCCCTCCTGCCACACTTGAGTAAGGCAGTGGATTCTGCAACATGTCACCAAAGTGACTGAGTAACCTTTTACTGGCAGAAGTAGGTCTGTTGTTCTTTTTTAAAGTAGAGGTTGTAAATAGGATTCAGACACTAGGGTACATTAGTCCATAAAATGAATATATTTTTTATGTCATTTATAAGATATTGATTTTAGATCCATTAGATTCATGGTCTCTAGTGGAAGAAAAAACAATAATTTAATGGGTAGGTTGGAATTTCAGAAGGAAGAGCAACGGTGATTAACCCTTTCTTCTTCAGCTTCCTGCCCCTGGTGTAGAATAATGTCAAGGAGCTGAGGAGAGGACTCTAGGAGACAGGGACACTTTATCAGCTGTCTTCCCTGCACTTTACAAGGGATCACAAAACAAATTTCAGCTGGATTATTACTGTGTCTCTGAATGTGAGAGAACAGATCACTCTCAGTTGATGAGTTGCCAAAACTATCTTTTATAAGGTAATTTTTAAGTTGATGGATATATTTTATTTTCCAAAACTCAGAGCACATTTATTTAGAGACTTAGTAATTTAAGATAGTGTTTAGGGAGATTAAAGATATGAAGAATACAGCTTAGATTTTTTTTTTAAAAGGATCTTTTTCTCAACTCTAAGAAAGGAAAGATCATCCTGGTGTCATGTCAGTTATACCCATTCTTAGGCAAGTCTTAAGTGATATTGGTGAGAATGACCACCATAATTTTTAAAGTAGGGTGCTGCCTGTTCCAAAAATACATAGATAATTACTGGTTTATATAAGCCTCTTTTCTGACAAAAAGATGGCTGAAATATCACTTCATTTCTATGTTATTAAATTTAGATGTAAAGCACTTATAATAATTCTAGTCAATTTCACTTAACTAATGTTACTACTACCTGAAAGGAATTTCCTCTTATGCTGCTTTAGCAGCTACATCTTCATTATTATATCTGAAAAAACCTGATTACAATATAGGTATGAAAAGTTTAAACATTTCAATTGTCATTCTAATCTTGTGAAATACTGATATTTTATGGTTAAAGAAAAATATGCCAACTGAAATCTGATTAGCTTAAAACTTGACCTTACGTAAAGATTATAGTATCAACAAACATTTTTTAGAACATATTTTAGTTCAGGTTTTTCAAGTTCTGTGACAAAAATATAAAAATACAGGCTCCCTCTTGTGGGTAAAATTACCAGCTGTGTGTTTCTGTGTTGCCCACTTACGGGATATGACAACTTTTTTTGTTTCATTTTTAAGTAAATTCTACTGTCGCAGTGTCTTTACAGTTGCTTAGGTGTGAAGTTTCACTTAATTGATAAAAGTAAAGTTTGGGGTACCTTTTTAGTATAATTTTTTTAATGAAGTTTTTTTTTTTTTTAAAGAATTGTCAGACCATGTGTAGACAACTTTTATTTTACTGCAACAGCATAATTTCTCTTTTTTAAAACTTTGAATTTTATATTAGAGTTTAGTTGCCTAACAATGTTATGGTATTTTCAGGTGTACAGCAAAGTGATTCAGTTATGCATATACATGTATCTACTTTTTTTCAAATTAATTTCCCATTTAGGTTGTTCCAAAATATTAAGCAGAGTTCCCTCTGTTGTGCAGTAAGTCCTTGTTGGTTATCCACTTTAAATACAGCAGTATTTACATGTTGATCCCAGACTCCTTAATTAACCTTTCACCCCATCTTCCCCCCACCCCCTCTTAAGCATGAGTTAGTTCTTTAAGTCTGTGAGTCTGCTCTGCTTTGTAAGTTGTTTTTATCATTTCTTTTTAGATTCTGCATATAAGCAGTATCATATGATATTTCTCCTAACTTATTTCACTCAGTATGACAGTCTCTAGGTTTATCATGTTGCTGCCAATGGCATTATTTCATTCTTTTTAATGGCTAAGTAATATTCCATTGCATATATGCACCACATCTTTTTTATCCATTCATCTATCAGTAGACATTTAGGTTGCTTCTATGATGTCTTGGCTGTTACGAACAAGTAGCAGCATAACTTCTGATGTTCAAAATTTAATAACTTTTCTCTCTTTTACATACTTTCCAAAGCAGCAATTAGTGAATTGATGAAATAATGTGGAGTCTTCTGTCAATGTGGTGACTTTTGGATTTCTGTGCTTATTAACAAAAGATCTGACATTGGAATGAAGTAAAAGCCCCTCTACTAATCATGGTCTAGATGGATAACAATATTATAATGAAACTACCCTAATACCATAAACCTTGTGACCAAAATAGTGAATAATCAATGGCATAATAAGAATGATGATGAAGAATTACTCAATTCTCCATAAATTGAACTGATAGTAAAGAGGCTGAACTGGCACCAAGGCTGTGGCTACCACCAAGTACTGATTTCTTCCTTTCAAGAGTCTGATTCTTGAGAATTTCAACTGATTGCCAGGGACAGTTTTTGTTTAACCTGGGGAACTGATAACGGCCAGAGTTCCATTCACTTCTGAAGGTGACAAGAGCAATATTTTTGAAGCTGGATTGGGCAGTACGGTCACAGAGACACAAGCAAGGAACATCAGTGTAGAGACAGCTGAATGGCTCCCACCAGGCGGTTGCTGTGTTGACCTTGGCTGTCACACATTTGAATGCAATCAAAGAAAGGAACTATGAGGACACTTGAAACTTTTTCATAACTCATTTCAAGAAAGAAGAACCTTAATGCTACCTGTCCTAAAGTATACTCAGGATGTTTATATCAAAATTATACAAAATGAACAACTTATGATTAATAAGTACAGAGGAGGGGGTGACAGAGAATGAGATGGTTGGATGGCATCACTCACTCAATGGACATGAGTTTGAGCAAACTCTGGGAAATAGTGAAGGACAGGGAAGCCTGGCATCCTGCAGTCCATGGGGTCACAACTGAGTGACTAAACAGAAATAGCAAATTAATATATAATGCCTTTAACAGAACTTACATGTATATAATAGTTTTTGGATTAATTCTTGTGGTATTATGATATCAAAGTAATGCCTCTTTTTCAATAAATAATAACTTTATATCTATATAAATAGATATATATATATATAAATTTATTTGAAAACCATAGACATCTCATGCTTCTGAAGAGTCATATCTTGAAATATTTACTGAAAAGGAACAATGCACTGTTAATGGTCTACTTTTATTTTTTCTAGATTCCTCTTGCTAATGACACAAGTCCTGTCTGAATCTACTTACAAGATTCTGAAGCCTGAACAGAAAATTTTGGCACTGCACTGGGTAGGAAAAAGATACACTCATAAAATACATAATGCACACCTTTGAAAAAATTGATTATTTTAAAAATGGAAGTTTGTGTGCCTTATTTTTAATTTATAAGTAAAATATGTGACATATGCATATAAAGCTATAATACATAGTCTTTTATGTTCAGATGACAACTGAATTTGTAATTATAATTTTCAGACTCATTATGAAGGTAATGTTTCTAAACTGGCAGATGAAAGCAACATTTCTTTTCTTTTCATTTCCTTAATGAGATACACATTTCTTAAAGTTGCAAAAGCTTTTCTTCTTCATTGAAATTTTTTTAAAAAACATTTGTTGCTACTATTTGTTGTTGCTGAAAAAGAAATACTCTGGGTCACAATGGGTAGGTCACAGATTTTACAAAACTTCCCACAGGCTATTAAATATTTCAGGGTATGTTTTTGTAAACACATACAAAAGTACAGGTTTGCTGAGGCCAAACATGTATTTTCCAATTTGCTTGGCAGGAAAGTTTATTGGGCATCTATCTGTGTATGCATGTATGAAATGCTTGTAAAAGTTATACTCTTGGGAACAGGAATTGAATGTTTGACCACAGACCTGGAGTTAAAAATCCTTCTATAGTTCCATGACTGACTGACTATCATATGAATGAGAGCAGAAAAGGTTGAAGGAAAGGCATCCTATTGTTTAGAAATTTGTCCCCAGTAAAATGGAAAAGTAATTACCTTTCTGTTTAGTTGAAGAGAATAGTGAAAAAAAATTGTCTTCCTGAAAAGTGAATTAAAATTTATTTCCTAATCCACTTGAAAAGTCATATGATTTATGTTTCTAGAACTTCAGGATACAAGTTTATTTGTGAAAACCCTTATATTCAATGGTAGTTTTTTATCATCTTTAAAAATGGAATGGTTTTAAATCCCCAAAATACTTTAAAATATTCATAAATAAGACTTTATATATTCACAGACAAATGAATCAAAGCAATATGGGAGAAAGCATTGTGAGTATAACTTTAATGATAACAGAATGGAAATGGAACTGGAATAAGTCACGAATTATTGCAGATATGAAACTTTTATAGTTTTACAAGTGAAAACAGAAATGTAAATAAAAATTAAGTGGGAAATGGAAAACTAGGACTACTTTTAATAAATACAGCAAACATCATATGTAAAGAGCTATTATTATGAGAAAGGCAGTAACATCTTAATTTAAAACATAACAAGATATAAGAACAAATAATTAATGAAGAATGCAATTCTAATGCAAAAGGCTAGTTAAAGAAATGCAAAGTTATGCTTCACTTAAAATCAAACTAGTAAAAAGTAGTTTGGAATAATGTTGTAACAAGAATGTAGGGAGTTGGGTGCGTTCAGTAATGTTGGAAAAAGGTTATATTTGTTCCGCTTTTCATAAAGCGAATTAACTATCTCTGTTAAGAGCCTTAAGTGTTTCCAAAGCATTCTATGCAACATTTTCACTTCACTAGTTTGGAAAGGTTTGGTTGAAAGTAATCCAAATTGTTTTAAGAAGGTAGAACTTTAATTTTTCTTAAGTGAAGTCTGTGTACTCAGTAAAGAGATACCAGGAGGTTCCATAGTCATAAGGGACTCAGATCCTTCATCTTTTGCTCTGTTACCCTGAAACTTTTATCTCATGTTTTGGGATATCCAGTATTGATATTCCAGCAATAAAGTCAATATTCTAGCAGCAGGAAAAGAATATTTCTAGAAGATTTATGCTCTTTCCCTATTGTTATTCAGTCGCTAAGTTGTGTCCGATTCTTTGCAGTCCCATGAACTGCAGCATGCCAAGCTTCCCTGTCCTTCACTATCTCCCACTTTGCTCAAACTCATGTCTACTGAATTGGTGATGCCATTCCACCATCTCATCCTGTGTTGCCCTCTTCCCTCCTGCCCTCAACCTTTCCCAGTGTCAGGATCTTTTCCAATGAGTCTGCTCTTTGTATCAAGTGGCCAAAGTATTGGAGCTTCAGCTTCAGCATCGGGCCTTCCAATGAACATTCAGGGTTGATTTCCTTTAGAATTGACTGGTTTGATCTCTTTGCTGTCTAAGGGAGTCTCAAGAATCTTCTCCAGCACCATAGTTCAAAAGCACCACAATTCTTTGGCACTCAGCCTTCCTTATAGTCCAACTCTCACATCCATATGTGACTGCTAAAATAACCATAGCTTTGTCTATATGAACCTTTGTCAGCAATGTGATGTCTCTATTTTTTAATATGCTGTCTAGATTTGTCATAGTTTTTCATCCAAGGAGCAAACATCTTTTAATTTCACAGCTGCAGTCACCGTCCACAGTGATTTTGGAGCCCAAAAAATAAGCTCGGTCTCTGTTTCCACTTTTTCTCCATCTATGTGCCATGAAATGATGGGGCCAGATGCCATGGTCTTTGTTTTTTGAATGTTGAGTTTTATGCCATCTTTTTCTTAGCTGAAACTCTCCTCTTTCATCCTCAACAAGAGGCGATTTAGTTCCTCTTCACTTTCTGCCATAAGAGTGATATCATCTGCATATTGTTGATATTTCTCCTGGCAATCTTGATTCCAGCTTATATTTCATCCTACCTGGCATTTCCCATGATGTACTCTGTATATAAGTTACATAAACAGGGTGACAATATACCACCTTGACATATTCCTTTCCCAGTTTTGAAAGCAGCAGGAAATATTCTGGCAGCAGGAAGGGAATATTTCTAGAAGATTTATGGTCTCTCCCTATATGGATATCTTTTGAAAACTGTCCTTAGCTGTTCCACTTATATTCAATTGACTAGAACAAAGTTGCCTGACCATGTCACACTTAAGAAGAGTTTAGAAAATATAGTTTTATTTTGGAAGACAAATTTGAGGAAATTACTATTGCTGGACAATAGAGACTAGATATTAGGGCCCAAGTAACATTATTTGGTAACTTCACTGCCAGAATTTCTAATAACATTATGAAATTTCTAATTAATGAAATAATTAAAAGTGACAAACTTTATGTAATTATGATCATTTCATATATTTATAATGGAAATAATTTGAGGCTGAATAAATTGTTCAGCAATAGAGCAATAGTTGGATAAATCTGAGTGCATTCATATGATACAGTCAATAATACATTTTCAAAGAATTTTTGAATACATATGAAATTATGCATGATGTAATGTTAAATGAAACAAGTAGAATCCACATTAAATATACAGTGTATCTCCAAAAGTGTGTGTGTACACATATACACATATGCACACACATATATACATTAAAGTATAAATATATATTACAAATGCATAGAAAATTAGCTGAAGGTAGGAACATTAAATATTTTTAGCTCTGGATTATGAAATCATCAGTTCAGTTCAGTTCAGTCACTCAGTGGTGTCCAACTCTTTGCGAACCCGTGGACTGCAGCACCCCAGGCCTCCCTATCCATCACCAACTCCGAGAGTTTACTCAAACTCATGTCCATAGAGTTAGTGATGCTATACAACAATATCATCCTCTGTCATCCCCTTCTTCTCCCACCTTCAATCTTTCCCAGCATCAGGGTCTTTTCAAATGAGTCAGCTCTTCCCATCAGGTGGCCAAAGTATTGGAGTTTCAGCTTCAGCATCAGTCCTTCCAATGAATATTCAGGACTGATTTTCTTTAGGATAGACTGGTTGGATCTCCTTGCAGTCCAAGGGATTCTCAAGAGTCTTCTCCAATACCACAGTTCAAAAGCATCAATTCTTTGGCACTCAGCTTTCTTTATAGTCCAACTCTCACATCCATACATGACTACTAGAAAAACCATAGCTTTGACTAGATGGACCTTTGTTGGCAAAGTAATGTCTCTGCTTTTTAATATGCTGTCTAGGTTGGTCATAACTTTCTTTCCAAGAAGTAAGCATCTTTTAATTTCATGGCTACAGTTACCATCTGCAATGATTTTGGAGCCCAAGAAAATAAAGTCAGCTACTGTTTTTACTGTTTCTCCATCTATCTGCCATGAAGTGATGGGACCAGATGCCATGATAATAGTTTTCTGAAGGTTGAGCTTTAAGCCAACATCTTCACGCTCCTCTTTCCCTTTCATCAAGAGGCTCTTTAGTTCTTCTTCACTTTCTGCCATAAG